TTTCTTTCTTTCTTTCTTTCTTTCTTTCTTTCTTTCTTTCTTTCTTTTCTTTCTTTCTTTCTTCCTTCCTTCCTTCCTTCCTTCCTTCTTTCTATCTCTATATATCATCAATATCATCATGTGTGTATACATGTGTGTGTATGGGAGGGGATCCATCTACATTACCCAGCCCAGTCTCTCCAGCAACTCAGAGAAAAATGTCAACTCTCTCCCTACTCTAAATGACTCCTGCCCACTTATATATACATACATACATGTATATGAATATAGATGTGCAACACATGTATATGTGCATGTGTGTGTATGTATGTACAGAAATATATGTGTGTAGATATATATACTCAGAGAGACAGCCAGAAACTTACTGGGCATTTCATACACACATGAGCATATGGGTGTTTATGCACAATCACATGTGTACACATGTACATGTGTGTACCTTTATAAGCCTATATACACTACATGTATATATACATGTACACGAGTATACATATACAGATCCACACATGTATGTATATATGTGTGTGTGTGTGTATATATATATCTATGTATAGATAAATAAACAGACAAATAGATGAGATATAGATATAGGTATAGAAACGTGTCCATCTATACTCATTTCAGTGACCTGTCAGATAAGCAAGCCTTCTTCTGGATCCTTTGTGTGCTAAGAAAACTCCCTAAAACCAAGGAATGACCACTCGCCAAGGTTTGGTTCTGGACTCATGAAGCGCATGGATGTTATTGAGGCAGCCAGATGTGGGGAGGGGAGTTCTGGACCAGACACTCGGAAGATTTGAGTCTCCCCCCTGACACTCACTAGCTGTATGATCTTGGACAAGTCACGTAAGCAGCATGCGCTGCAGGATGCTCTCTAAGTGCAGGCTACTAAGTAATAAATGGGGTGGGAGGATTTGTGTGTGACAAGAGCTCTGAACAAGGATCCTCAATGTCTTATTCATGCCTTCATCGCCTTTTACAATCCCATGGAAAGTCTGAATAGAGGGCAGGACTTAAATTAGCAGCGAAGGACCTTTGAATCAGAACCAGCCTCACCTGGTGACTTCAGAATATTTTTAGATGCAAAAAATATCATAGACTTTTTATTTAGGCTGAACTGTCAGAGGATCATCAGATCTTTTCCTTCATGTTGCAGCGGTGTCAGAGAAGCTGTATTCAAATCCTGACTCTGACACTTATCGCCTGAGTGGCCTTAGGTGAATCCCTTACCCTCTCTGGTGCCCAGTTTCCTTACTGGGTTAAAAAAAAAAACCCACAAACCCCCCCCCCAAAAAAATGAGGTGTCTGGATGAGATGGCCTCTACAGTCCCTTCTGGCTCCACCTCTGTGGTCCTTTCATTTTCTGGAGGTAAAAGGGGGTAGAAATCATTTGGCAGGGACAACATTCTTCTTGAAATTGCAGGAGAGACGGGGCTGGGTAATGAACATGGACCCCCTCCCAAGAGACCATGTCTGTTTTTGTGTTTGCTCAGGCTCAGGCCCTTCTCCGTTGGCATGACTGCCATCAGTTCTGTGGCAAAAGTGGGCACCCCACCCAGAAGAATGTGGCTGGCAGCAAACGCGTTTGCCCCTCTAGTAAGATGATCTATTACCCGCAGGTGAGCATCAGTACAGGGTACCCGGGTGGCCCAGGAAGCTGGGACGCTGTCCTCTGCAGGAGAAGGAAAGCAGGTCATACGTGACGCTTCCCTCAGTTTGTCCATACTGCCACGCCACGACAGTGGTGCTGCCCTTGACCCCTTGCCGCCATGCTCTTCCCTAGATGTCCCCTGTGGTAATCACGCTGGTGTCGGATGGGACCCGATGCCTGCTGGCCCGGCAGAGCTCGTTTCCTAAGGGGATGTACAGTGCCCTGGCGGGATTCTGTGATGTGGGTAAGGAGCCTTAGACGCAGACATTAGACACAGGAGTCCTGAAGTGAGTGGAATTTCATTTCTCTAGTTATTTCTTGGTGTCTTGTCATCAGAATACTTGAACGCTCAGGCACAATCCTCTCTGGCGTGTGTTGATCAGTCAAGAAGCACCTAGTACACACCTATTATATACCAGGCACTTGATGCATAAGAGGCCTGGCTGCCTCTCGGTCTATGACAATCATTCTGTCCCACTCACCCCTGTAACACAGCACCCACCCTCCAGGTCTTCAGCGGTCCTAAGGCACCAGCTCCTAGCACTGTGACTCAGCGTCCCAGCCTCACCCAAACTAGGACTCCTGGATTACATTTGGAGTGCCGCTGCTGAACCTGTCTCTCACCCTCCCGCTGCAGGGCTGTCCCAAACTAACCTGAGTGCTTCTAGGTGAGACGCTGGAAGAGGCTGTCCGGCGGGAGGTAGCTGAAGAGGTGGGGCTGGAGGTAGACAGCCTGCAATATTCGGCATCCCAGCACTGGCCCTTTCCTAACAACTCCCTCATGATGGCGTGTCATGCTACCGTGGGACCAGGGCAGACGGAGGTGAGGACTTGCCAGGCTTCTCTTGGTGTGATACTTCCTGGTCAGAAAACCAATTCAGATCAGTCAATTGACAAGTTGTTTTTTTTTTTAAATGACTTTTTTTTGGGGTGGGGCGAGGCAGTTGGGGTTAAGTGACTTGCCCAGGGTCACACAGCTAGTGAGTGTTATGTGTCTGAGGTCAGATTTGAGCTCAGGTCCTCCTGAATCCAGGGCTGATGCTTTATCCGCTGAGCCACCTAGCTGCCCCACAATTGACAAGTATTTACTGGGTGCCTTCAGCATGCCTAATGACATATAATACATGATCCCTTAAAGAGTTTGCAATTTATTGGAGGGAAAAAAATATTAAGAGAGTCACTAGGTTTGGAACTTTGATTTTGAAATAACAACAACTACCATCTATATAGCACTTCGAAATTTGCCCATCATCTCGTGTGTCCATCACAACAACCTTGTGAGGTAGGTGCTATTACTATGCCCATTTTGCAGATGATACACCTCAGGGGTGAGAAAGTTAAGTGACCTGCTCATGTGAGTTGGGGGAGGGGATTCAAATAGAGGTCTCCCTAAAAGACAGTCATTTATTTTTTTTATTTTATTTTTTAAATTAATTTATTTTGATTTATCAATAATCAGTTCCATATGCTTTTGAGTTTAAAATTTTTCTCCCCCTTCCCCACCACCCTCCCCAAGACGGCGCACAATCTGATATAGGCTATACATTTACATTCATATTAAACATATTTTCACATTGGTGATATTGTAAGTAAAAATTAAAACCAATAGGAGGAACCATCAGAAAGAGGAAACAAAACTCAACAGAAGAGAAAAAAAAATAGCAATTCGACTTCCGTAGTTCTTTCTTTGGATGTGGATAGCATTCTCCATCACAAGGCCTCTGGAGATATCTTAGATCCTTGTATTGCCAGGAAGGGTTAAGTTTATCAATACTAGTCATCACACAACATGGCTATTATTGTGTACAACGTTCTCCTGGTTCTGCTAACTTCACTCAGTATCAGACCATACAAGTCTTTCCAGGTGTTTCTGAAGTCAGCCTGTTCATCATTTCTTATGGCACAATGGTATTCCATCATAAAAGACAGTCATTTAGACTAATGTGGAAATATGTTTAATATGATTGTACATGTAAAGCCTCTATCAGATTCCATGCCTTCTTGGGGAGTGAGGAGGAAAAGGAAGGAGAAAAATTTGGAGCTCAAAATCTTATGAAAGTGAATATTGAAAACTAAAAATAAATTTAAAAAAGGAAAGAAAAAAAAAGACAGTCATTTAGCTGCCTGGCTCCCTCCTCACGTGCACACCTAACCATGATGCTGTTTCTTTTTTCTGATACCAGATCTGACCTCATTGGCCAAGTCAAGACATGGGGCTTCCTTTGTTGACTCAGTTTGAGGGTTTTGTCTCGGTATCATGGACTCTTAGAATCAAAGAGGCCTCAGCGGTCATCTAGTCAGTCCCTGCCGCCCAGTATAGGAACCCCTTCTTCCGAGTCCCTAACATACCTCTCCCATGGATACCTCCACCTGTTGAATTCCTAGCCATCTCTCATGGCCCAGCTCCAATGAAGTCATCCAATCTCTGCTTGCCAAAGCCACCCTGATGTTTGGGCTTCCGTTTCTAGAGTGATCTGTGTCAACGTCATGTAGGTTAGTGAGCTTCTTAGAAGGAAGACAGAAGATCCCATCGCATGGACCGCTACTGTACTATCCCACTACACGGTGGAGAGAGCCCTGAACCTGGAGTGCGAACGACTTCAGTTTAAATCCAGCATCAGACACTTAACTAGCTGTGGGATCCTAAGCAAGTCCCTTAACCTCTCTCTGCAGCAGTTTCCTCTCAGTATGCTGGCTATTAGGGCTCATCTTTCATGCCCTTCATTTGTATATTCCCCATGCCCTGGGGCTCTCCCGCTCTCCAGCAGGACTTTGAGTCTGTCCCTACCAGACAGCCGGCTCAGAATACTGTTCTTCCTAAGTCCTGTTTGGAAACTGTTTTCTCACCTTTCTTACCATGGTAGAGGCAACGTTTAAGAGCTGACGCTGTCCAGCCCAGCCTCAGCAAAGGGGAGCAGTCAAAATGACCTGGGTTTGAATCCTCCTTCTGATACGTATTGATTGATTGAATGATTATCATCTGGGTGACCCTGGACAAATCATTTAAACTTTATTTTATTTAAACTTTGCTCCTCGCACAATCCCATGGGACTTTATCTACTAAGTCACAGATTGGCATGGAGCTGCACAGTGGTGGGACTGCTCTTTTCGTGTGTTCCCTACACTAACAAAATTCATTAATCCAGTAAGCATTTGTCAAGGGCCTACTATGCGCTAAGTACCATGTGAATGAAATGAAATTGGTCCCTGCCTTCAAGGACCTTACATTCTATTGGGGGGGGAGATAGGAGGAACAACACATGCACGGATAATTAATGTAAATATATGCAAAGTAAGGGAGGGTCTTTTGGGGGGGAGGGGTTTCCATTATCAATAAAGGCCTATGTAGGAAGTAGCCCTTGAGTTGAGTCTTGAAAGAAACTAGGCATTTTAAGAGCTGGAGGAAGAGGATGAAGTGCATTTTAGGCCTGGGGAACAGCCCTGGCAAAGAGAACCTAAACATATTCCTACCACAAAAAATTTTTTTATAGCATCTGTCTTTATTTTTTGTTCTTCTCTTGTGCCTTTCAGATCCATGTGAACTCCCAAGAGCTAGAATCAGCAGGCTGGTTCAGCCTGGAAGAGGTGGCCACAGCTCTCAGGAGGAAAGGGTCACCTTCCAGTGAGCAAGATGGCGCCCTCCCCTTCTGGTTGCCTCCCAAGGTGGCCATTGCTCATCAATTGATTTGGGAGTGGGTGCAAAAGCAAAGCTCCTCTTCAAATCTTGCTTAACCTAGATCAAGCTACACACATGTCTCTTCTACATCCTTGGAGAACACATCAAAGAAAAGAGATTGATGGAGATGATGTGACAGTGGCAAAAGGCAAACTCCAAACCAGCCTCATCACATAAAAGGCAGTGTGGTGTAGAGGAAAGAGCGCTGGACTTGGAGTCAGAACAGACCTGCATAGGAATCCCACCTCTGATTCTTACTAACCATTGGCAAGTCACTTATGACTTCACTGAGCCCCAGTTTTCTCATCTGTAGAATGGGGATAATAATATCAGTAGAACCTACCTCATAGAGTTGTTGTGAAGATCAGATGAAATAACATATTGTTTTGAAAACCTTACAGCTGACATTTATATATAACACTTTTATTATTATTAGGCCATTGATATGATAGGAGACAAGCCTCTCATAAGATACCTTAATTAGTAGGAGGGTGAGAGGAGTTTGGTGATGGGCTCCCAAACTTGCCAGTCAGTGTGTGGCTGTGGGCAGATTCCTTAGCTCCTCAGAGCCTCTGTTCCCTTGTCTGCAAAGTAGGCATACTGATACCTGTATATTCTACCTCATAGGGTTATTGTGAGGAAGGGAATTTTGCAAATCCTTAAAGTGTTAGCAGAACATGAGCATTTGTGGCAGCACTGAGAACAGTCAGTGCTTCCTAAGTGGTGAATGAATGATTAAATAAATAACAGGAAAGAAGCATTTTCCAGTGCCTACCAAAAATGATCCAAGGTTGGAGAGGCAAACTGTTTAAATATCACCTTAGGAGTTGTTAAACTGTGTATGCTCTTTGATCTAGCAATATCACTGCTAGGTTTGTACCCCGAAGAGGTCAAAGAAAGAGGAAAAGGACCCACACATACAGAAATAGTTACAGCATCTCTTTTTTTTTTTTGTGATGGCAAAGAAATGGAAACTGAAGGGATGCCCATAAGGTAGGGAATGGTTGAACAAGTTATGGTATGTGGAGGTGATGGAATACTATTGTGCTGAAAGAAATGATAAAGGGGATGGTTTCAGAGAAACCCGGGATCAGTTACATGAACTGATGCATGAAGAGAACAGAACCAGAACGACTTATACAAGGACAGCAATATTGTAAAGACAAATAACTTTGAAAGATCTGGGAACTCTGATCAGTGTAATCATCAACCACAATTCCAGAGGCCTGATGAAACAAGCTTCCCATCTCCTGATGGAGAGGTGAAGGAATCAGAGTGCAGAATGAGACATATTGTTTTTAGGATGGTCAATGTAAGAATCTGTTTTGCTTGACTATATATGATTGTAAAAGGGTTTTGTTTTTCTTGCTTTCACAAAGAGGGATGGGAGTAGGGATAATGAGGATCTCTATGAAAATAAAATAACAATGAATTTTTAAAAATAAATATCTTATGAGAGACAAAACTATTGGAAATGTTGAAGATGGTTGGCCGTAGATTCTGTCTTATAGGTTTCTCTAATTTTCCCCTTGATGCCAAAGTCTTTCTGACTAATGGCCTTCAAAGTTTTTACCCTGAAGATTAAAATTATCTTGAAATTGTTTGGGGAGAATTACCTTGAGGTTGTTCAGCAGCACTTTCATCTGAATATTTTTAAAAGTACAGCAAATGGCAAACTACTCCTATGTGAGTCACTAGAACCAGGGGACAGTTTCATGGATAACCAGCATCAGAGAAATCTCTGCTATTATATTTAAGACATCACTCATTTCCTGAGAGGTAGCAGTTGGATGCAGCCAGCCCAGAATGCTTTGCCCAGTTCCCTACGTATGTTCTCATGGAGGTGAAATGTGTTGACGACTGTCTCTAACTGTTGCACTTGGGGAGGGGCACTAGCTTTCATTTAACTGAGGTACTGGTCCTTGGCCACCAAATAACCAATTGCTTTGGCAAAGACTGTAGTGACATGTAAGGTATCCGGAACTCAATTTTCTATCATGGTAGAGTCTAACAGCTTCCTAGAACTAGAAACATAGAACAGTGCAAATATTTCTGGAACTAGAAACTTGTAATACCCCCAAAAGCCACATATGCCTCATCTACTCAGGGTCACTGGTATACGCCGCATCACCAGTGAACAAAGAAATGACAAAATTGGGTGCTTAGGCAGCTAAGTATAGGTCATACTCCCTCAGAGCCAGGTTGGGTCCCAGCTTTGTTGAAATGGGAGGAGCAAAGCAAGCAAAGGCAAAACTAACACAAACAACCAAAGGCAAAATGGGGGCTCCCTACCAGGCAGTGGACTTAGCCTAATTTCCTACAAAGCCCCAATCAGTTGTTGGGTAAAAGTGGCAACATGGAACCAGAGGAGAAAGAATGACAGGCTGGTTTCAGATCTACAGTAGTCAAACAGTAGGAGAAGGGTGGGAATGTAGTTCCTAGATATGAAGACAGTTAATGAGGTGTTAGAACTCAGGGAACCAAGTCTATCATTTCCCGGGGATCTGGTGCTTTGAAGTAGACATGATATGCTATTATTTGGGGGCTCAGAGAAGGTGCCTATTTTAATGGCTGAAATTCTAGCCTGAAATCTACCACCCAGGCCCCTTTCCTTGACAACATGGTAACTCTTTCCCAAGCCATTCCTTTTTTTTAATAGAAGCATTTAATGAAGTGACGTGTAATAATAAAACACTTCCACGGTAAGCCTGTCTCATACTCTCCCAGAAATAGACACACCACCACCGACGAAAAGTACATCTAGACCACCTACAGAGAGGGGCAACTGATGCTTCCTTTGCTGCATACCTGCCTGGCAAGGTCAATTCATCATTTATACTGGCAGGCCATACTTATCAATATGCTTACGAACAGATTGAAAGGTAGGATGATAAAGTAGATAGGCCATTGACCTTGAAGTCAAAAAGACTTGTGTTACCTGGGATGCACCCTCGCTATGTGACCCTGTTCAAGTCATTTAACTTTTCACTGCCCCAGGCAACTCTCTAAGAGAGAGGCCCATAAACTGTTTTTTTTTTAAGTAAATATTTTGACAACTGTATTTCAGTATAATTGATTTTGTTTGATCCTATGTATTTTATTTTATGTATTTGAAAACATTATTCTGGAAAGGGGTCCCTGGGCTTCATTAGACTGCCAGAGGGATCCATGACACAAAAAAGGTTAAGATCCCCTGCTTTAAGAGTATAAATTGCAAAGTGGCTACCCATTTGCCTCATCGGACAGACTTTCTACACTAGGAGTTCTACGCAGCAATAAAACCATAGATTTGGACAAAAAAAAAGGTAATATTACAAAGTATTTGCTAGAATATTCTTAGACGAACTCACATTGGAATACTGGAACATGTTCCATTTGGGTTTATAGTATCCAGTGATAGGCAAATTATGCATGGAATATTCTGACTCATCTATTAGCTTTCATGGGTACCTGCCCATTTATTATAGAAAGTAGAAGGAGAATTCAAGACATAAATCTTCAATATTTTAAAGACCCATGACTTCATCAGTCTGGAGATGCCCTCCACAAACACAGGTTGCAATCTATGACTTTATGGATGATCTTTAAAAACTGGGGTGCCAAAAAAAAAGACACACATATATACCATCACCCTACAGGGAACCTGAGAATGAACCTCTGGAATTTAATGAGGCTGATCTTTGGGCATTGAACAGACAGCCCATCAGTCACCTGGCTAGCCTCAAAACCTGAAATATTCAAGACATTCCATACCTTTCAGTGTTGCCCATCAGTGCCCTGACCATAATGGTTCTCTAATTATCCTGTAGCTTTAAATTCTCACTGGCAAGAAAGTGTCTCTAGCAGAGGATCATTCCTGGGATTCTCTTCTGCCTAAATCTCATCTGGACTCAAGATCTTTTCTTTTGCTAAAGGAACTGTGGCTCATTTTTATTCCTTTGTGCTGATGGGTTCGTTGCAGGTTGACCAGTTCTCTTGAGGAGAAATCCTCAAGTGTAGGAGGTAGGTACAGTTAACTTACTGTGAAACCCATGGACCAGATGGGAGTGTGCCCATGGCTGCCAACCCCGGAACCTCTCTCTTTTCTTTGGACCAGCAAACCTAAGGTTTGGTTTGTTGATGCCCCTTTTGGTATCATGTTATTGGTATTTACAGACTAGTCAAGATAGCTTTCTTTTAATTATTGTGAAATCCAGGATCCATAAAGCGGCCTCACCAGAGAGGCATACGTCGAGACAAGAATGAACAATGTGAAGTTCAGTGGGAGGGTGGGCAGAGGTCTCATTCTAGTGCCCACTGGAATCTGGGAATTGGAGAACCCCCTCAAAGAGCAGTTATCTTTATTCTCAGTAAAGAGACTATCACTTCCTGGATGATAAGAGGATAGGACTCAATTGTCCTCTGACAAGTTGGCAGCCTCTTCTTACCTGGGTTAACCCAACATATGGATAGAGAGGTTCTGAGATTTCTTCATACCCTGAAGTTTGAAGAAAACAGTTCAAAGTTCATGTGTCTGACCCTCTCCCAAACTTTTAGATCTCCCTTTGGGTGTTTATGACCATATGTGTACACACACACACAGAGCCTCAGAGTACTGATAGAGAGGAGAATAGAAGCAAATCCTTGTTATATACACTTTTCCAACTTGCCCAGAAGCAACTGTGCTCCTATCACTTCTCCTCTGAAAACAACATGTTAATCAAAAAGCAAACAGAGACGGCTGAATGAGAGAAGCTGCTAGACTGAACTTTGTTTTTCTATCAGTGAGTGGGAGGAAGCCTTGGCTTAGAAGTCTGAAACTGCCTGGAAAGAAAAGAATGGCCAGGAAGGTGAGGGAGGGTAAGATAGAGAAGACAGAAGGGAAGGGAATCGAAGTAAAGGATACTTTGGTAGAGGAACGTCCCAATTTGGGGAATATATATGCAGGGGGTACTCATTCTT